CATTGAAGTTGCATCGTACTCGGTGTTGTGGATCAAGTTCCACTTGAGTGTTCATTGGTTCTGTATCGTACGTTCTCCTAGTTGTTGTAGCAGCAAAACGAACTACTCACCCTATTAGTGGCGTGGCGATTCATGTGCTGTATGTATGTACTTCATGCAGCTGCCAGTGATTGACCTGGTGCACAGCTTAATACGTGTTATATATTGAGTACCTGCAGCAGGTCTCCCAATTAGCATGGGTGCAGCTGGAAATAGAGGGGGGAAACCATCGTGGGGCAAATTAAGCCCAAAGCGAATAAAATGAATAGAGCAACGACTAAACAGCAGTGGGCAGTCGACGGTCGTATACATGAATTTGGTAATATGACAGTTGAGATATTGCACGTGAAAAGCTAGCCGCCTTACACTTTTGCATGTGGTTAGACTGTGGAGTATGGGAACATTAGGGCCAGCTGCACCAGAATAGCCCTCGTTCTTACGCAGGCCTAGCTTCCGGAGACTGATGTGCATGAAAATGATAAAGTCGAATTTGTCAAGCAGTTATTGACACAATAGGCCGGTTCATAGTAGCAATGGCGTAAATGGCATTCAAATTTCACCTTTTGAGCCAAGGTCGCCAAGGGAGAACAACCTGTAGCATTTGCTTGTGCCTGCTGCTCCAAGGCGTACGTGGCTGCGGCGCTGTATGAGTTGGCGTTAAACCATGTTGCGACAATCTGATAACCGCGCAAGTACGCATGTAAGGAATCCTTAATACACACCAGCGGTGTTTGTGTTTCTACGGATATGTGAGTGTTTTCCTTGATGGCACCTGTCCCCACATTTGGCTGGACAACGTGTTTTCACGCATACAGCGTTTGGCTAGGCAGCATAGAGCATCCGTCTTACTTAAGAAGTAACAGCTTCCGTTGTATTGCTGGTATGCATTCTGTAGCCATTTGGGATCAGCGCGGAGTTAAGGATGCATACACATACCGGCCTTTGCGACTTGAGGGCACGTTTGCATGAATTTTCCCATACGTGTGCATTCACAAATAATACAGTTAGGGTTTTGGGCCTATTTATGGGGCATGACAATGTCTGCACGCAGATATTCAAAGAAAGCCCGAAGTGCCTAATATGAGCTATTCATCTGTTCCACTAACCTTGCAAGCTTCATGTGGGGCATTCTGCTTATGTACGGTCAGAAAGTTCGCCTTCTGATATGCGCCAAATTTTAGCATATACAGGATACCCATTGTTTTAAAGGGAGGCCTGCACACACCTACTGTCACAAGCAGTTTTCCTTGACGCCATTCCCAGGAAAATCGTTGCCTACCTATAGTGCATTAAAGAATCTCCGCTACTTTCCTGCGTAACTGCGTAACCAATTTGGTTGAGTGCTGTGGGTGGTTGGAATATTCTTGCAGTAGTTGTATTTTGGGTTTTGGGCTTATTTATGGGGCATGACAATGTCTGCACGCAGATATTCAAAGAAAGCCGGAAGTGCCTGCGATAGGGGACCATTTGGTTTATATCAGTGCTTTCGACGACGTCTGCATAACTGTCAAGCGCATGATGTTCTACATACAAGCCGTGCTCTTGACGGACAATTTCCATATTGCGCCGAGTCAGTGAAACGCCTCTCAATGCAGTAGGTGAGTATGGCTACATGCTCTCAGACACTTTAGTCCTGCCAATGTGCCCACTCTCAAGAATAGCACACCATATCAGATCTGCCCCAGTCTGAGACATCGGAATCCTCCTCCGGTTGCCTCTTCTCGCTAGGGTGAATTAGCTAATTATGTTACTGTATGAGGCGGCAAGGCTTTCTAACGCTTATCGCCAACTACGCTTCCCGGTCGGTTTCGTATAGCATTACCAGTTGACCACTTTTAGGCTCTGCATTTATGATATATGAATAACGATTTAAGCTTATCCGTTGAAGCTTAGGTGTGGCTTTGGGGCTGAAGCTCTGGGGCATAGTGTTTAGGCTTTTAGTGTATAGGGTTACGCGTTTTAGTGTTTTGGGGTCAGGGATTCTAGCATATGTTCTTTTTCTTACGTTTACAACTGATGACATATGCCTTTAGGCTTAGAGCTTACGGTTAGGAGTTTACGCCTCATCGTTGAGGGCCTTAATTTTAGTGGTCTACGGTCTAGGCTTTAGAGTATTTGGTCATAGGTTTCTGGGACAAGAACCCATGGTTTAGCGTTTTACGGCTTCGGGTGATATGATTTTAGGTCTTTTGATAAAGGCTTCAGGGTTCGCTGTACACGTTTTAGTCTTCGGGTCTAGCGTTTAGATTACGGCGTATGGTTTGATGCCTCTACGGTACTTGGTCTAGGGTTGTACGGTTTAGGGCAAAGGTCAGTCTTACTCTGCGAGAATCTGCACGTACGGACGGGTCGATGTGATGCGTGCCGCACACTGGGCATCCCATCATTGTGATATCAGCGTCGTGCTGGCGCCGTACCCAGCCGGGGCTGCCCTGTAGGTAGCTGGATACGAGCGAATGCATGACGCCGCAGCCGCTTCAATACGTACACCAGGAGAGTGAACGATAGCTGCGTTTCGTGGGGAAGCGAGCACGGTGAGGCGTTCTCTAGGACGGTGAGGCGTTGTCGACTGCCTGCGGCTGTGGTATTCGCATTTTCTTGAAGGCGCAGAGCGCGTGCTTTGTCCGTGTTCTCATCGCGTCGATAAACATGTATTACATGTGTGAAGTGGAACGCTCAGCTTGTGAAGACTGCCGCACTAGCTATCTTCCTGCATTAAGGTCCTACGCACATTGAGGGGAGCTGCGAAAAGGCAGATGTCAGGCTTGCAGATATTTTCCGTAGTTGCAGGTCTACACAAATCGTCCATAGCATCTTCCCGTAGTGACGCTTCTGCCTGCTGCTACAGCTACAGCTGACGGTCCTCTCTGCGGATATATATTTTCAGCCTACTCCTGTTGCACCAGCACGGCCTGCAGTTAGGGCTCCCGAACGCAATTAAACCTGCGTCTACGCAGCTGTTTCAAAGCATCCTGTAGTGAAGAGTCCAGTCACGCAACTGAAACTACGTGAAAGTCTAACCTGCGCAACCTAGGTGCATAGCGCTTAACTAATACTGGTCGCTGAGAATATTACTCCACAAATCGTAAAATACCATTAGCCGATTATTAAGGGTTCAAATGCCGGCTTCATAAAAATGGTTTCATAAAACTCCACCAACACCCACACTTGCCACTCAATCGCCGAATAACCCTCCGTATCCTTTTTCCCTTTCTGCAACAAAATCGGCCAACAGGCAGATTGATTCGAGACATAATACATTAAGGACCAGAGACGTTAGGCAGACGAGGTTCAGTACCTCGTCAATTGACGATGCAGCGAAGGATATGGCCCAGATGGGAACCTGCCCACCATCAGACCATTCACCCACCATTATTTGTTCCCAAAGTTCAGCAAGTGTGAGTTCACTAAGCGAGAGCTCACATACTTAGGCTACACGATCAGTGCTAAAGGCATAAAACGAGCAGCGGACAGGATCATCGCCGTAAGGGAAAGGCCATAGGTGCTGGAGAACGCGACTCAAGTTCGGCAGTTCCTGGGCACTGTTAACTACTGCCGGAGGTTTATGGGCCCCGACTTCGCAACGGTCGCCCGCCCTCTTGTCGCAGTCACACGAAAGGGCACCCCTTTCAAGTGGAATGAGGCGCACACACAAGCGGTACGACAGCTCAAACAATACGTATCGACTACACCACACTACAAGTCCCTTCAACCGCGAAGCCCTTGGACCTTTTTACAGATGCGTCAGCATTTGTAGTAGGCGCTGTCCTCGAACGAAATGGGAAACCGATAAGGTTCCTTAGTCAAGCCATGAATCCCGCTCAGCTAATGTATTCAATCTACGATCAGGAACTCCTGGCCCTTTGTCACCGTGCTAGTAGGCGCGTCACCGTACTAGTAGGCGCACTTGCTGAGAGTCTCCCAAGTCACTGCCTACACCCTCCAACAAGCTCTCACTCACCTACAACAACTCAAAGCGTCGAAGCCTCTTTGCAAGAAAATCGAGCCATCGGGAGGTGCGGCCGCAAAGAGGCTTCGACGCTTTGAGTTGTTGGAGACACTTGGTTGCGGGCTTCTGGCAAGTAGGTGATGGTGAGTTCTGGGAACTCTGCAAGAAAATCGAGCCATCGGGAGGTGCGGCCGCAGAGTTCCCAGAACTCACCATCACCTACTTGCCAGAAGCCCGCAACCTAGTGGCAAATGCGTTGTCCCGCGTTCCTTAATAGCCGGCTCACAGTGCGAATACCTCTCCCGCTGAACCCACAAAGCTCACACACGGGTCATTCGCGGCCCTCCAGCCAGACATTAACCCTGCAGCCACCTCCACTACGAGAAGGGGACAGCAGAGAGTCTATGAAGAACTCGCGAGCATCCGTTTGCGTTCCTTCCGAAGACGACCGGCCACGCAACCTTCTAACCCGCCGCTGACACCTTCTCCCCCTACCCCTACTCTCGACTGGCCAGCAGGCTATTCTAAGTGTCCGAGCTTTTGCAACCTCTATCAGACTGCAGCAGCCAAGCCAGGCGAAATAGTACAATTAGAATTCCAGCATCGCTGTCACGGGTTCCGCTATCCGACACCCTACTTGAGCATACGCTTCAATGGCATCTGGCTGATTTGCGTCCCTTAGTTTCCAGAATTTGTGACGCATATCTTGTACACCCACCACGACCACGTGACGGCCGAGCACAGGTGACCGAAGAAAACATATATAGCCCTCAGCACTACTACTGGCCCGGCATGCGAGCCTACACTAACGCCTACGTGGTCTCCTGTAGACAGTGCCGAGCCCCCCGGCCTCCTACAGCAGCTTCTAATTCCCTCCCGCCGATAAAGCCATCTCAGCCTGGACCTTATTACGCACCTGCCCCCACGACGTCAGGGAACGACACCATTGTTGTAGTAGTGGATTCACTCAGCAAATGGCCCACTTCGTTCCCACAAAGAAGTCCTTTTCCGCTGACGACACTATGACCCTACTGGCTGACCAGCTTAACAGATATCACGGCTTCCTCGAAACCGTTATTTCCGGTACGGACCCGCGGTTTCAGTCCGAAGTGTGGGCACAGCTATGCTCACGCTTTAATATTCAGAGGGCTATGCCTTCCCCCTACCATCCGCAAACGGATAGTCAGACGGAGAGCGTCAATCGTACCCTCGAGCAAATGCTGCGTACATATATCCAGGCGGACAAGCGGGACTGGGAGGGCCTGCCACCGGCCCTGGAGCTGGCCTATAATTCCACACACCACTCCTCTACAGATATCTCTCCATTAAAGGTAATGATCGGAGAGAACCCAGTTACTGCAGCAGACCTAGATATTATTCGGGCATTGCCCCCTACACTCACCCCACCCATTACTAAGCTCTTTCGGCAGCTTTGTGATCGGGCTCGTAGCCACATACTGAGGGCTAAGTGGAGACAGAAGTACTACGCAGATTCAAAGCGCCGAGCCATGGAGTATAAGGTGGGCAATCAGGTGTGGCTCCGCAGCAAACATTTGCCAGCACTCAACCATTGCACCATGTTAGAACCCCGGTACCGAGGTCCACTCACAGTAGCTGAACGTGTTGGTAAGGTGGCTTACCCCCTTGCCTTGCAACCCACCTGCGAGGGAGCCAACGTCTTCCACGTGTCTCAGCTGGTTTCCCACTACCCCCGGGAGGAGACCCAGGTACCACAGGAAGCCCAGGTGGGCTGGCCACCTGTCTGTAAAGACGCCGGCAACCCGACAGATCAATTTATTGTGGATGACATTATCGGAGAACGATAGTTCTCCGATAAGATAATGAACCCGCACTATAGCCACTGTGACCACGACGCCTGGGCACATTGCATATTGCGCTGGTTCCTTACTACTTAATAAATTATGCGTTTCGTTTAAGGATAGACAAGTGGTCAACTAGACTGGTGCGGGAGGTCGCTGGCCTTAAAGAAACCTATAAGGTGAGTTGTCCTGTTAGGCTGTAGCTCTATTGGCCCTCTTGGTAGGCTTTGGACTCTCGTCCCACTCTTGGTTTACCATTGTGTGCCCGATGTAGCAAGGTGGTTCGAGAGGGGATCATATATAAGCGCAAACGAGGCTTCTTGGTTGCATGTAACCAAGAAGGCCTCGTTTGTGCTTTAGAGAGTTGTTGAGTACTTTTGCTAGCGAGCCATTTGTTTTCTAGGAGCGCGTAAGGGTTCATGCGCCAACTTGGTTGCATGCAAACAAGAAGGCCTCGTTTGCGCTTTATATATATATGATGCTCTCTCGAACCTTGGTGTGAAGCAGCTTTCCGGCTCGTTGCCTGTTCTCTTGCAGCTTCAGGCGCTCCAAGTTCTGCTCAGGATGCCTTTGGACGGGCATACGTTGGTTGAACAGAACCCTGATCCTTTAGTATTTTGGCTCCAAGTTAGGTCACATTAGTTGCTCGATAAGATGCAACATCTGCATTACCCTGAGGGGCGCATAAAGAAGACAGCAAGTTCGAAGGTATCTGAAAAATTGGTGATCAGCTCCATCATCACTGTCAAAGGGATAGACTCGTTGAACCCAAGATCATGAAGAATTATTACAAGGATAGACCCACATTGGACTTCGTTGCATGCATACCCAAGATGCCGTCGTTCTCCCGGACGCACCAGGAATCACAGCGGATGCATCAGGAAGCACAGCGCGCCTCCCGACTGAAAGGTACAGTCTTCGCCAGGCCTACATTGAGTGCAACCGAACCAAAAGGCGTACAACAAAAAACCGCCGCCCGATACGCTCACGCACCTCACCCGATACGCTCGCTCACCTCTCTATACCGTTCAAGTTTGTATTCTTAGCGTTGCTGAGGAGAAGTGTTTGCTCCCTTAAGCAAAAATGTGCCCCTCGCTTCTCATGATTTTCGTTTCAATATTTCCATTTTCACTAGCGATGACCGGTATGCATGAGCCACACGACGCATTGCGTGTATCGTCGATGAATGATTTAGCAGATAATGAAGCAGCTGTTGTTCATGGCGGCGTTCCATTGCCGAACAGAGTGCCACGCAACGCTTCGCCGCCAACTGTCCTGACCTCGTTGTTGATATCGCTGGGTGCTGCTTTTCTCGTCGTGCGTTGTTTCATTGCCCTGAAGTCCCGTATAGATGAACATCAATATGCTATAAATTCGCAAAGGCTTGCATTTGACAGAGGCGAAGATTGCCCCGTGAGTATTCGCACAAAGGTCCCTGACGCGCGTTTGCTCTCTTGGTGGGAGGAATAACCAGGTGTCTAGCGCATGTTGGGCTTTTTGAAGAATCCAAAGGCCCTGCAAGCACAGCAAATTCATTGCTTTAAGAGGTGCGCTCAAACACAATATTGTATATTCAAACCCTTAATACATTCATACAGGTATTTATAATGCATTAAAATCATTTGTAACTGGCTAAATCAAACTGTGAAGCACCACTCTATGCGTTGTAACGTAAATGAAAGTCAGTCATGGCGGTACCCTACAATGCCTGTATGCATGTGCGTATGTAGTCGATTTATGCTTGCATGCATATGTGCAATAATTTGCACTTTGGTGCACACACCTGCAACTTGTATGCACTCCGTAGCTGCATGACCGAATGGGCTTGTTGAGTGGATGTATACACTGCCGGCTTGCTTGGATACAATTATTTGTCTGGTGTA